CCCCAAAACCCCAAAACCCCAAAACCCCAAAACCCCAATTAAAATTATAAAGTTGAAATTTTCAAATGAGTAATAAGGACAGTAAGTTGGTACATTTTAGTATTGCTCTTGAACAAATAAGCACACATTTTTGGATTAAAGTAGCAAAAAATTTACTGATATTGGTTCCATACCTACACGGAGCTAGATTTATGATCATTTCTAGTATTCTCCTTAACAAGAACATCTGAGGCTAAGAAATCTCAGAGGAGAAGTACCAAGCAGATTCCATCAGTGTTGAATAAATTGAAGCAGAGTCGGATGATACAGTCTCAGCAGAAAGCCAGAGAGAGGTCGAAGAGCATCACAAAGACAGAGTATGTTTGGGTATTCTTATTCTTATAGGAGAGGTAACTTAATAAGCTTCCCAAGAGCTATAGAAAGATGATTCTAATTATAGCAAACATCCAAATTACAAACTCAGAGTCTGTTGCAGCCTCAGAAACCAAGACTTCTTTTAAAAGAACCTTGCTAGATAGCATTATGAAGAGACTTCATGAGAATGGTGTCATGAAACTCCTCAAAAACAGCGATGAGAATAGACTTAGACAAATGGACAGGAATAAATTCATCAATATAGGTATTCAGTGGTTCTGACTTTAGTAAAGATGGGACAAAGTTCAATGCATTTGAAGTTAATAATTTTACAGAAAACATAGGGATGGATCCCAAGATAGATATCAATAAATATGGTTGGTTCATCAAAATCGCTCTAAAATTTCCTCTCCCTGACCCTTGGATCAGGGAGAAGGATGCTGAAGGAGGCGTTATTTATTGTAACAAACAGACTGAAGATATCACGATTCATCATCCCCAGGAGAGGTTGTTTCGGAAAAACTTCAGCAAGGTAAGCCCAGTCTCACTTACATAGGATTTTGAAGCTGAATATGGATGGCAAGAATTGAAATGAATTTCAGAAGACAGTCATTGAAAAGTTTTCAAAAGAGCTTATAAATGAAGCTAAATAAGCAAAAATCCTTAAAATCTAAGCAGGAATATGAAGAGATGGGAGGGGCTAATAGAAAGGTCATAATGGGATCTTACATTGCGACTAAACTTGTCAAAAAATTCTACTTCAAAGCAAGATTCTGAGTATCTTACATTTATAGCTTGACGGAGGAGACCGGATCCTTGATAAATATGCTAATAAATAAGAACAAATCACATAAAAGGTTCTCCAAAGTTAGAGATTACCTTGAGAAGAACAAGAACTTATGAATGAAAGGTAATGGTACCTGCGATTCCTACAGAGAGACAGAAAAACACTTCCGAGAATATTCTTTCAACAACGAGAAGGATTAAATAAAATGGTAAAAAGAATAATTCCTGGTGATGAGGAGATCCAGAGCCAAGCTGAAGACCTCCCTGAAAATCTTGAAGCACAAAATGATGATATACATCAATACCAAGGTATTCTGTAGTCCCTATTTGTAGGAAATGCACCTTCGGATCGAGAATTGCTGCTCATAGCCAGCCAGCTAGAGATTGGCCCTGAAAATGTATTCCTACTCCAAAAAGTCATGGATATTGTTACAGATATTAAGTTTGAGTACTCAGAATGGAAGTTTAGACAAATTAACGACCAGATGTACTGGGCTTGAGTAAGACGATCTCCATCATTATTAATAGGACAATATTACCACAATGTAGGATTTGAAGGAATTTTCTAGGGTATACCCATTTCTGGACCAAATTAAGAAGCAACTAGAGCAATTCATGTCTGAAGATATTGTTCTCAAGCAGGTAAATTTTTACTAAGCCTTCAGAATGCTACCAAGAGAGCAAAGTCTACAGGTACCACTTAGTACATTATCTCTAGAACCAGAGATTGAGAGACAGCGGCAAGAGATATCTGATGGTTTCGTGTTTAACAAAATTGTTGAACAAGAACAGAAGAAATAAGTTTACCCACAAAACAACAGTAAAGAAGCATAAATATATTAAGTACATGGAAGAGATTATGAAGGGTAATGGCTTCATCCTAAGCTATAGGTAGAAACATGTCCAAGGAGGAAGCATTAGACTTGCTGTTCTCCTGTCCATTTAATTTTAACAAGCCAATTCCTCTAAATCGGAAGAATTTCCTTTAGATCCATCAGCATGAATAGTCCTGATGAGTCATGGCTAAAGTATGCTATATGAGTGATGAAATAGAGTTATCAAAATTACATCAGAGAGTAGATCAATATCTGATACCTTTAAAGAAAGTGAAGAGTCTTACTCCTCTGAAGATTTATCTGAGGAGATCGCTCAACTCAGAGAAGAAATTGCCAAAAGAGATCCTAGCACTAAGAAAGTGCCCAGAACCTCAAGAAGAATCATGAGTGAAGAGTTGCTCTTATTTTTAGGAGAAACAGATCACAAAAGTATCCAGAGAGGAGTTGATGGAATATGTATAAGCATTTTCATACTTTAGGTATTCTGAAGAACAACAAGAAGTTTATCCAGAATAACAGAATTACTGAAATCATTACTAATAAAAGTAGCCAAAATAGCCAAAGAAGGTAATTTAAAGTCTAGGACTCTTCAGGAGAAAATCAGGCTCAGATCGACCAATGTTGAAACGTCAGCAAACCATTGGCTCAAAAACAGCGGAAAGCAAGTTCTTTAAGTCAAGATTTGCCGATGTTGGTAAATTATCTTGTAATTTGTAGATCTACGAAAGCAAGCTTTGAACAAGATCCGAAACAAACGGGCAACTCAGGTGTTGAAAGCTGAGAACTTCTTAAGTAAATATCATCTAACCATTAGAGATCCCCAAATTTTCGGGTGAGGATTCTTCGGTAACATCGATTATTGAGACTAACTCTAAGAGTAACTTCTCAACATCGCAAGGGAAGATGACTAATCCAGTGACTGCGCATTCACGAAGAGCTTCAAAGCGGATAACCATGCCGATGACTCCAAGACTAAGGCTAAACATTAGTCAGGCCAAGCTAATGGGGATATTGTCAGCCCACAAACTTTCTCTGGACAACTTTAAGTATATCCTAGATAAGGTTTCCCACTCTGAGGCTGTCGACATGTTAAGGGTAATCACTAACCCAAAATCTGCAAAAGAAGATCTTAATGAGAAGGGATTCGACATCACGAAGGAATTCAGGAAGGTCTATGAAGAGTTCAAACAAATCAAAAAGAATGACAGAACCCAGGTAAGCAAAGATGTGAGCTGTTTAGAGCTATGGTGATAATGACACTGCTGCGAAAGATAGAGTTAAGAAACCAATGAATATGAATAAATTGTTGAGGATGAGAGGAGGAGTGAGACAGAATAGCTTGCTAGATACAAAGTTCAAGTCTTGTTTTACTATCACTCAGCTTTAGGATTAATATTTTAGTATGATTAATTTAAAGAAGTGGGGTTTTGGGGTTTTGGGGTTTTGGGG